GCAAGCAAGATTTGATATTGAAGTTATTTACATGTCCAAAAATCAAATGTTTTGTTTTCCTTCAATACTTTGTATACACGTGAAAATAATAAAACAATGGTAAATAGAACGATTACAAAAAAAAAAAAAAAAAATAAAAAATTGATTGACAATCAATCGCGGAAATATCATTTTGTTTCAAAATTTTTTGCGATAAAGGAAATATTTTGTGCTTGCACGAGAGAAAGTCTAACGGAATGATCCGTTGCAACAAAAAAAAAAAAACAAAAAAAAATAAACAAAAAAAAAATCATAATCTACGAGAACGATTATGTTAGAAGAGTATTTTTTTGTTTGTTTGTCCTAAGGTTTAATGTCCTTTGTCTCCTTTCAATCTTATTGGAAGAACACTGATATACAGAGAGCTCGTTTTACATTAAATATATATCTATATAAATATATATAATAATGTTTATGCATGTGTGTATGTATGTGTAATGCACTTGTGAACTAGTGGGATGTTTATATATCTATTAATAAACGTACGTGGTATACGAACTATTAATGTTATTTCTTGTGTATCCATTTAAAATATACACTTGAGGAGAAAAAATGTATTAAAAAAAAGTGTATCGGGTAAACAAATAAAAAAAAAAAAAAAAGAAAAAAAAGAATTGCGCTAGGAACAGTCAGTCACCGTGTTCGTTAAATTATGCGTGTAACACTGATAAATATCTAGCCGATTAATCGACCCGGTTGGTTGCTTTTTATTTTTCGTCGTGCATTTTCTCTAAATCGTTAATAAACAAAAAGAAAAAGAAAAAGAAAAAACAAGAGAAAAAAAGAAGAAAAGTAAAGAGGGTGGCGGAAAAAAGAAATAGAAGAAGAAGAAGAAGAAGAAGAAAAAGTGATGGATAGACGACGTTAATTGATTTTTCTTTCGTTTTTTTTTGTTTTGTCATTGAAAATCTCTTATGAAAATAAGGATGGCGTCTTAGTTAGTTAAAAAAAAAAAAACAATGAATAAAATAAAAATATAATAATAGCTGTTGATCCAAGGGAAAAAATGATTGGGGTTTGACGGAGTTGGGTGGCATTGACTGGGTTTGGTTGGGGGTTTGAAGGGTTTTTGACTCGCTGAGTGGAGAAATGCGGGGGTGTTTGTAGTTATTGGGGGTAAATGGTTTTCTATATATTTCGCGGTTAAGAATAAAAAAAAAAGGGAGAGCTATTTAATCTCTATATATTATACGATGATATAAATATAATATACTTAAAATGTAGCATATATATATATATATATATATATAGGAATCTATGTTCAATGTATTCTGGCAGTCTGGTGATCACAATTATTCCGTTTCTAAGAATTACCACAGAGAGCTCGATATGTATGTGTTTGTGTAATTAAGTGTGTATGAATATGTGAGGAATTGTGTATGTCTTTTAAATAATTTTAGTTATTTTAAATCGTTAAACAAAATATATTTATATAATATTTCATTGCTTTTCAATATTTCTATAAATGTACGTGGGTGTATATATATGTATAAAGATATGTAAGATGAAAAGTAATCATAATAAATTGTTTTGTAATTATGTTTGTAATTTGTTGTGTGTGTGTGTTTAAATGTGATAATAAACGAATGAATGTTTCAATTAAATAAATGTGTTGTTTGTGTGTATAATGGTGTGTGATGTGAATCGAGCATGGGAGTATCTGTGCTTTTTCTGAGTTTGTATAATCTGTCATTAAATCTCTTTCTATAAGATATAAACTATTAGTAAGTTTGTTGTATATGTGTGTATTTTTTTTTCTCTCTCTCTCTCTCTCTTTTTCTCTCTGAGTACTATGTGTTTATTGTATTTGTGTATTTGTGTGTGTAGGAACGAAAAGGGAACACGAACGAGTCGTATCGTAATGATCTATAAGATCTATAGATCAATTGACTCAACGTTTAATACTGTACTCTCTTTCTCTTTCTCTCTTTTTATCTTTCTAATAATCTGTCTGAAAACTCAGTATGTAAAATAATAATAATAAAAGTCTTTCTTTTCTGTATATCGTTACTATTATTATAATAATAATTATTATCGTCGTCATCATTATTTAATATTATTTATTATTAGTATCATTATATTAATTATTATTATTACTATTATATTTATTAATATTATTATTATTATTATTATTATTATTATTATTATTACTATTATTATTAACAGAGCCTCGCGACGAGAGGGAAGAAAAGCGATAATAAACAAAACGAAAAAAAAAAAATATAAAATAAAATATATAATATATGTATATGTTAAAAAGAATTATCGATAAATTGACAAAACGGAATAGGGGGGGGGGTAAAAATATACGTATATAAAGAAAAATTACAAAATAAAGAATAAAATGTGTATAGTATAAGTGTATGTAGTAGTAGTAGTAATAGTAGTAGTAGTTGTAGTAGTATTATATGAATTGGCATAATCAAGAATGCTTTGGACGTAGACGCATCGATCTAAATTATTATTTTCCTTTGTTAATTATTATTATTATTTTAATTTTTTTTTTTTTTTTTTTTTTTAGTTTTTAAACAAATACTATATCACGTGTGACAAATGTGAGATCACAGAAAAGGTAGGAGAAAAAATGTGGGATGAGACGATTGGGAGAAA